TCTCTAAGTCTCTTCCACCTCTGCCGGTGTTTTTTTTGGTTTGTAAAGAGGCAAGGCACTTTGGAAATGAGCATCCTCTCTATTTGAATCACCACTAGGAAAACGGATGCATGGCTTTCAGTCCCTAGGAGAGCCACTTCCTCTCTATTGGCCTCAATATCCCCTCTCTCTAGCCCTAGGGGGTTGGATTGGCTGATCTCTAAGTCTCTTCCACCTCTGCCGGTGGTTTTTTGGTTTGTAAAGAGGCAAGGCACTTTGGAAATGAGCATCCTCTCTATTTGAATCACCAGATCTGGTCCCATTGCCAAGAGTGCCAGCTGCAGGGGGGGGGTGTACCCAAGCCTGGCAATATTGCAGTGATGGGCTTTTTCACAGGCAAACCAGGATTTACACCTTTGGGAGAGGCTGGACCTTCCAAGTCACCCCCTGAGAGGCCACACATGTACTCCAGTACTGTTTCCGCGGCTCTCAAGAAGCTCTGGAAACTTTTCTTGCAAAGAGGCCTTCTAAGTGGGCTTTGGATCCCTGTGGGACACACAGTCTCACTGCAGGATGCCCACACCTCTGTTCCAGATCAAAGCCTGCTCCCCACCCGGCCTCCCTCCTCCATAGGCTTGGCCCCTAAAGGCTCTCAATCATTTCCAAAAAAGCAAAGCTACCCCAAAGGAAAAAGATTCACTCCCAGTGAAGATTTTCAGAGCATATGCCACAAGCTCTGAGATAATTCCAAAATAGTTTTCAGAAATGTTTGGGAAACAGCAGCACATTGGTATGAGCATATGGCTTCCCAAGGGGATCACTTGGATAGGGTCATTGCTCCTTTGGGCGTATAAAAGCAGTCTCTAGCCTCACCTCCCCAGAACTGTGTGTAGAAAGTATACACGCATCATGTATTCAACAAGCCGGAGTTTGCCCCTGCTACGCAGGCTGGGCACGGAGAAATGCAAAAAGAGAAGGAAGGTCCCTGCCTGCTTGTTCTCACACTGGTTCTGAAACTTCTTGGCTGTGTGACTGCAGGACCCTGAACTCAGAATGACAAAATATTAGAACAGGAAAAAACCTGTGCAGTTACCTCGTCCCCCTCATTTTACAGATGAGGAAACGTAGCACATTGCAGGGGGAACGAAGCCAGAATCACCCACAGAATTGGTAGCAGAGAGAGGAATCGAACCCTAATCTCCAGAATTCTGCCCCAGGGGCTCTCTCAGCAACACCTCTCTATAATCTCCTGCCCTCCCTGCTAGTTGGCTGTGAGGATTAGTGGATTGACGCAGAAGGAGGTTTGTAGGGGTGAGGAGGGAAGAAAATTAAAAGCAGAAAAGTACTGAGAGAGACAAAGAACAACCCCATTAACCCAGAGTCCAGTGCGAGAGTAGGGGAGGGTGGAAGCTGTTAAGTGACTGCATCACCAAGTCACATCCCTGGAACCTTAAATATTCATGAACCCAGAAGCGTACCATGTAGAACAGCTGCTGCTCCTCCAGCCCAGGCTCTGACTGCAGCAGGGACTGAACACTTGCACACTGGAACACACCTAACCTAGACACATGCAAGCTGGGGGAGGGGCTGGGATGGGGCAGGCTCTAACTCTTGCTCACTCTAGGAAGGGTTCCAAGAGCAGGCGGCAGGCCCTCTGCTACTCCCCAGCCCTGTGTATGAGCAACCCATGTCTTCTTACACCCACAAGCCCAGCAGGCACTCACAGTCACTCATACAGCTCTGGGCATAAATAAAGGTCAAAACGATATACACACACCTTCACAGACAGACCCATTCCAGCCGAGCCCAGCAGCAAAGAACGCACCCAGCCACACTCCACCTCCCTGCTACCCATAAATTCTTCCTCCATCTGCCCCAATCTCCTCCTTCCAAAGCCAGCGCCTGAAGCTTCTCTCTTCCCCCTCCCTGCTCTCTCCTCCTCTGCCTCCTCCCCAGCACCAGCTGCTCCCAGGACCCTCTTCCCAGGAAGCCCTCATCAGCCATCTCTCCAAAACCTGTGCTCTCTTGGTTCCCTCTCTTTACCTGTGGCTTTCAGGACAAGGGGATACGAGAATCTGGAGCTTTAGAAGGTAAAATGAATTGGGGGTGTGAGACTTTGGGAGGAATTCCCATGGACAGACCAAAGTTTAAGAGAAAGAAGGGGATATGAAAGAAGCCTAGGCAAACTGGATGATGAGGGAGGGTCTTCCTATGAAAGCCTGGAGAGGTGACTCCCCTAACTCTGCTGTCCTGTCAGCAGATAACAAGACAATAATACTAGCAGCTATCAATTAATTGAGAGCATTCTACGTGCCAGGTACCTTACCTCATATGACACTCGGCCCTCTGAAGTAAAGACTATTCTGCCCATTTTACAAGTGAGACTGAGTCACAGTGACGACTCTGAGCCCCCAGAGGTAGGGGTGTAGAGATCCTGGCTTCAAGTCCCATGGTCCTGGTAGAATGGGATAAGGAATAGACGAGACACCAATTTGGAGGATACTTTGGATCCTGCTCTGTGTATGTATAGTCCGGAGTGGGATGAGTGCAGAGGAAGCCCCGAGCAAGCACCTGGGTTCTGATGGGCCTGGCATCTCCCCACCACCACCTTATCCTCTGCTTCAGTGCCTTCACAGCCTCTCCCTCCACTGTCACTTGGGGGGGGAAGGGGGGTGCACAGAGGTTAAAGTTGAGAGAAACTGGGAAGGCCCAACCAGCTGTTTTCCGGCTGGCCCTGCTACACCAAACAGAGAGCAAAGGGGACCTGCAAGTGCAGGCTGGGTGTGCTCATTTCTGGAACCCAGGTGACAGCAAAACAGGGGTCAATTAGCATGCAAATGGAGGTCCAGCTGGCCAGAGCCTTCAGGGCCAACTGGGTCCCTATAACCTCAGACTTGCCCTGAGAAAACTGAGCCTGGCATGTGTAAAGAGATACGGCTTGGATGGGTGGGGGCCAGGGCAGGAGGGGTTATTTTGGGAGGTAAGAGGGGAGAGGTCCATGTAAAATCCAGGCCAGGGAAGGGCTGCCCAGGAGAGGAGGCAACTGAGAACTGAGGCTTACTACCCCTTAGAGGAGAGGATGATCACAGGGTCCCCAGAGAACCGGGGGTAAATCTGTATGGAACTTGCCAGTTGCTTGGTTTAAGATTAAAGAAATAGATCTCCTGGCCCCGGCCCCTTCCCTTCCCCCAGCATTCCCTGCCCCTTCTTCTCCCCACCCCACTCCGTCTGGCTGCCTTCTCCTCCCCCAAAGATTCATCCAGCCCTGCTCCTCCCCAGTGCCCCAGCACCTCCCCTCCGTCTGTCCAGTGCACACCAGCTCCAGTGAGTATCCTCTCTCTCTCACTCACTAGTATTGACAACTTGGTCCTACACCAAACTAGTAAGTTTTTCACATGGTCTAACCTGCAATCCCTTCAGTTACAGCACACCGTTTTCATTATTCTGCCAATAGTGAAATTGGAAACCAACCCCATCTGTAAACAAGCCACCCCACCAAAGGGGTTTTCCTCTCCATTCCCCAGCTTTCTCCCCTTACAGGCCTTTCACCTACTTTATGATCCCCTTAATTTAGCAAGCAGAAAGTGAAATCTATTTCACAAGCATCGTATTGGCTCCCCACCCCCATTACTCCTTCTGCCGAGTCCCAGATGGTCCTCTGTCCCCAAGCCCTCCACCCACTCCCATCGAACTTCGAGAGAGGTGCTCCCTCTCGAGGCCTTCTGAGGTCTTCAGTTCTCTCTCCTAGCTGCTGAGTGAACACAGGACGGGTGTCCAGATTTCACCTTCTCTCTAGTGTTTTCCTCTCAAGAGAAAGTCCCTCTCCAAGTCTAACCTTAATCCCTCCTGCTGCGTGCCTAAATCTCCTTTCCATCTTTTCTCTGTAACACAAGCCCTTTAAGATCATAACTGAAATCTTCCTGTCGCGTTTGCCGCCTGCTCTCCCGCAGCGCCCCTCCATTTTCCCAGCCCTTAAAACCTGCCCTGGCTTGGAGAAGTTCTTCGCAGCCGCTCCCCACCCTCCCTCCCTGCCTAGAACTCCGAGTCCCTAGGTGTCCGCCAGGGCTGTGGAACAGGACTGCGA